CAAATCAGCCAAAGGAGCTAGAGGCCTGGGCTTGTGTCCCCATGGTAGACACCAGGATCGCCCTGCTGTATTTACTTTGTTCTATGAAATGGGTGTGGCAGACACTTTCTGCTTAAGATTTCTACACATAAAGCCTTGGCATGGTAGTTAGGGGACAGTAGCCGCTCAGAAGTGTTTGCTGCACCTTACAAATGTAATCTTATTCTCTCTTCTGCTGTGCTCTGGGATCCTCCTGGGAGCAGTGAGGACCCACCAGGCCGGGTAGACTTCTCAGCTCAGGTGAGGGTCAAAGGTGGGGAGGACCTTGACAGTGACCTGGTCCAGCCCCAGCTTCCAAGTGGCCTGAGCCTTTTCTCAGTGTCTCCACAGAGGGAGACCCTGGAGGCCCTTTCAGGTCTCTCAGCCTTAAGTTGTGGCTGGGCTGTGGCCCTCGGGAGAACTTGTGAGATTTGCTCAGCCTCTCTCTGGATGACATGTGCTTTGTCCTGTGGACTCAGCAGACAGTTTGAGCAGTTGAGGGCATGCACTCTGTGTTCAGGCTGAGTTCAAATCCCAGCTCTGTCACTTGCTATGCTAGCTATGTGATGTTGGGCCCATTCCTTGGCTGCTCTCTGCCTGTTTCCTCATCTGTGCAATGGGAGTATCAATAGAACCATCTGGTAGGGATGCAGGGGTGAGTGAGACGGAGTTCTGCCCCCAGTCCCCATGGAGAGGGTGTGGAAACAGACACAGCTGGGAACCTGAAGGGCTCCTTACCCCTCTTATTTTTTCCTGCCGTGGCTCCTACCATTCATCTTGGAGAAGTGACTTTTTCATGGGGCAACCACAGCAGTGCTGCCATGGGTAGCAGAGGAGCTGGTGGAATGAGGGAAGATCAGGCGAGGAGAGAGGGGAGCTTTTGCCTTGTATGAGAAGCAAGGAAACTGGCTCTGGGCAGAGGGGATATGGGTAGGGCCCGCAAGGGGCTGAGGACCCATAAAGGAGCTCAGAGGGTTGGGGCAGGGATGAGGAGAAAGCATTGGAGGTCCCTGGTGGTGATGGGGTCTTGCGGGGCGAGTAGAACATCTTGGGGTACAGAATGGTCTTGCAGACCCCAACTCAGGAGATGTTCTGATTCTCATTGGTTCACTTGGTGGTTTTTCTGTCCTGTCCTCTACCTCCTCAGTCTCTTCCTGTCCAGCTATCATTGCAGTGTCCCTTTACATAGGAGTGAGACCCCCTCCACTATGGTTTGGGGGCAGCGAGAGCATCTCTTCCAGTAAGCACAGCAGTCACATGCAGAACTGGACTCATGATGGCGAGGACTCCATACACTTCCTGAAGTCCCTGTGACATATGACTTGGGGGCTGGGGAGGACAGCCCCCAAGGACCCCGTGTCTGACTTCTAGGATGGACGTGTCCAACCGTGGTCCAGCTTAGCCACTGAACTTCCTGCATTGCTGCCCCGCCCTGAATCATAGCTGGGCCTCTGTGTGCTGCAGGTCTGTACCCCAGGGAGCCAGGCTCCCTTGGAGAGCGTGCAGCGGGACAGGCAGCCAGCCTCCTTCCGGGCCTGCTGTGTTTGGCTGGTACCACCCACTGTGCCTCTGCACCTCTGCTCTTGTTGGAGCTGCCCAGGGACTGCGAGCCACGCCAGGACATCCTTGCCTCCTGGCCCAGTTCCTGGCACTTTATAAGCACTCATATAGCCATGGCACCATGGATTCGGTCTCAGAAACACACAACACCCTCTTCTGCCCTACAGCCTGGCCCTTGCCCAACTGCCTCCTCTGTGACTCCCACAGGAGCTTGAGGGCCTAATCTAGTCAGTCTTTCATTTTGCTTTAACAGTTTTATTGAGATATAACTCACATGCCACACAATCTGTGCGCTGGAAGTCTATGGCCTGATGGTTTTAGTGTAGTCCCAGGGCCACGCCAGTACGTTTTCCAGCATTTTCCTCCCTGGCCCCCCAGCACTTTTCCCCCACCCCAGGCTCTGGAAGCCCCCCAGATCTCCCCCAGCTCGGCCACAGCCTGTCTTGACCCCTTGCTGCCCTTGGGCCGGGCTGTTGCACAATCGTTCCCTCCTTTCCGTGACTAAACCACTTGAATGAGCTCTTCACACCCACGGCCTTTACTTTCTCAGATTCAATAAACAGTTTCAGAAAGCTTCTGTGAAGTAGGAAGCCAGAGGTTTGCACAGGCACCATCTCATTTAATCCTCGGGAGCACTGGGAGGTGGAGAGGACTCTCTATTCCAAGATAGAAAATCACTTGTCCCAGAAAATGACTCGGCCTGGATCTGAACCCAGAGCCGTGTGTGTCTAGAGTCACGGCTTTGCTGCGCACCCGTCAGCCCTGTGGCGGGTCCAGCTGCGAGTCCAGCTGTTGATTGTCTCACTCATCACTTCCAGGTGCTCCTTGTACTCCACCGCCCTCCAAGTGACCTTTCTGTTCTAATCAGACGGGTGCCCTTCATGCTGGTCTTGTTCTTTCCAAGCCTTTGGACTTTGTTCTTTTCTTTTCCCCCCCAGTGCTGGGGATTGACCCCAGAGCTTTGTGCATGCCTGCAGTATACCATGGAGCTACCTCTCCAGCCCCCTCCTCTCCAAGCCTCTCTGCAAACTGCTCCTTCTAGCCAGCAGCCTTGTGCTTCCTCCTTTCTACCTTGGAATATCTGACCTCCCCCACTTTGTTTTCCTAGAGAGCTGGCTCAGATCTGCTTTCTTCGTGAGAGTTCCTTGTGCCTTTGAAGGAGCCTACCTGCTCCGGAGGCCTGGGTTGGATTTGTTCCTAATTCAACAGCTTGGTCTTGTTATCGAAACCATGAGTGCAGTTTTAAACCCCCTGAGACCCTGGAACCACACTGGTTCCCCACACCCCCCACTTTCCTGTGTTATGAGTGGAGCAGACGCTAACTGTTTTGGAAGGAAGGAGGGAAGGAGAAAAGGAATACATGGAGGGAGTGAGAAAGGATAGAAAGAAAGAAAGAAAGAAAGAAAGAAAGAAAGAAAGAAAGAAAGGCAAGGAATAGAGGGAGAAGAGTGCCAGGGGATGATGAGGGCCCCAGAAGTTAAGGATGCAAACACTTTTTCAGTCTTGAATGTATTTTATGGTGGGGGTACAGCTGCTCTCTGCAGGGACCCCCCCCCAAATGCTGGTGCTCACCAATACTCTACCCAGGTGGTCCCAGCAGGGAGCTGGTAGATTCTGAATATGTAGTGAAGGTGGAGCCACCAAGATTTCTGATAATTGGAGGTGGGATGTGAAGGAGAGATGTCAGTGGTTTTCTCTCGGGATCTGTCTGAGCCATTGGAAGGATGGAGATGTGAGCTGAGACCAGGAGGCCGGAAATGCAGCACTTTCAGGGTGGAAAGACGAAGGGTTTTGGAGAGATGTCTGGAGGGCATCCTGGTGGAGTCAGCACCCTGGTGCTGACTGTTCAGTCTGAGATTCTTCAGTCTGGGTGAACTTGACTGTGTACTTGACATCATGCTGGGTGGCTGGACACTTTCAAGGCCTGGGTGCTGCTTGCACGGCCTTGGATGGTGCAGTGTACAGAGGGTCTATTTCTGAAGTTTCATTTGTAAAACTGATCTAAGGATACTCGACTTGGGGTTGTTATACGTGTGTGGAGTGCTGAATGAAACAGAAGACATAAAGCATGCGACACGTGCCTGACAAAAGGAGCACCTGATGAACTGCAGTTAAAAATAACAAGGAACTAACCCAGACTGGCTCCTGCAGACGGAGCAGGCATCAGATGCCTTAGGGGTGTGGACTAGGGAGGAGGCACAGGAGAGGCCTTGGTGGGGACCTGGAGCCTGGGCAATGTGATTTCACTGCTGCAGGGGACTGGAGGTGTGGGGCAGCAGGCAGGGGAGTGGCCTGTGGAAGTGGGTATTAGTGCCACATGATTGCAGGTGACAAGGCAGCTCCTTGGGGAAGGGCTGACCAGCTTGTTCCCTGAGTGTCCCAGCATGGATGAAGAGGGCAGGCTGGCCACCCAGGGACATGGTCCCTTTGCAGGAGGACCCATAGGAAACATTGACCAGTGCTCTTTTTTTGGAGACATGGTCTTATTATGTAGCCCAAGCTGGCCTCAACTCACGGCGATCCTCCTACCTTAGCCTCCCAAGTTCTGGGATTACAGGTGTGTGCCATCATGCCCAGCCCAAATGCTTCATTTGTTTCCTTTTTTTCTTTTTCTTTTTTGGTACTGGGAATTGAACTCAGGACCTTGTGCTTTCCAGGCAGGGGCTTATGGCTCTGAGCTATATCCCCTGCCCAATGCTTCATTTTTAAGGCCACATTGTTTTAGGGGCGAGCCCGGGAGTCCCTTGGCTTTTCTCACATCTATGAAATGGTAGCTGAACCTTTTGTTCCAGGACGGTAGTGAAGATGCCATGTGGTAGCATATTCCCTTGCAGCAAGGATGATGTTTAAGCCCTGGGATGGTTGATTTCAGAGATGTCTGGGCACCTCCCTGAGGGTGTAGGCAGAGTGGGCTGTGGGAGTCCACAGGAGCTGTCAGTGCTGGGGGCAGTGCTGGATGGGGTGGCTTCAGCAAGTTCGGAAAGTGAGGAACACAGCCAGAGTCTGGCCAGGAAAGGGGATCCTGGGAGAGGTGAGGTGTAGGGGGCAGAGGCTCTAGAGAGTGACACCCCAGGAAGTGGGGCAGAGTAGAGACAGGGGAAGATGTCTCCAGAGCTTACTATTCTCAGATATGCGGGAAGCGAATTCCCGGGGCACAGGCCAGATCGCACCTTCCAGAAGCCCTTGGCTGGCTTGCTAAGGGGCACTGCTCATCCACAGACTATGTCACTTGGGCCTGGAGGGGCTGAGGACCTTGTTCAAGGCCACCCAGACCAATAGTGATGGGGTTAGGATTGTGACCCAGCTTGGCCCAACTACAAAGCTCCTCTTTTCCCGCTCTACCATGAGGTCACTGTGACCCCCAAGCAGCAGGGGGATGGACAGTATCAGATGCCTTTGGAAGATCTTTTCCAGCAGAAACATTCTCTCCATCTCTGCGCCTTGGTCTCCCCCTGCCTCCTCCCCTCCTTCCCTCCTCATTACTCAACCCGTAGTAACCCCACAGCTATCTGCAGGATGGAGGAGGAGGAGGCCGGGTCTTCTGGGTGCTGGCTGCGGTTGCTCGGGTTAACCCTCTGCTGCCTGCCTGCCTCACTCCGAGCCCACTGGACATGGTCATGGTAAGGAATCCTATCCCCGCCCCCACAGACAGCCCAGGGCTGGGGGGCATTTCCCAGAATTAGCCGCCACAAACAGCTGGCTCGGGGAGGGGGGCCCAGCAGGCTAACAGCTTCCAGATGTGCCAAGGCACAAGCACAGAGGGAGCCTCCGTGTCAGGGTTCTCCTGTGGCGAGGAGCTGGGATGAGGCGGCCTTTGTACCCGGGGTTTTAGGACTGCAAGGCGGGTGGGCAGATCGCTGCCTGAGGGCAGACTGTTCAGGGCCAGAAGAGAGCTTACAGTGCAGGGGTCCCAGATAAACCCTGCACTCCAGCTGCTCTCGGGGCCCATGGCAATATGAATATTAACATTATTATTAATACTAACACGAGTGCTAATGTCTCTCACGGCTACTCTGCCAGAGCGCAGGGGTTTCCAGTGCAGGGTCTGGGTCATGGTGCTTGGAGTCAAATCTCAGCTTATCTCTTCACCAGCCCTGGGACCCAAACTCCTTCACTCCCTTAGCTACGAATGGTTTTTATTTATTAAGATTAAATGCAATAATCTATGCAAAGTGCCTGACAGGGTGCCTGGTCCACAGTGCACCCTGTAGCAAGATGTCATTATTTGGACAGGGTGCCTATTTAGTTTCAGAGCAGTGGGATTTTTTCTTGTAGTTCTGGAAGGTAGCTGTAATTATCCTCATTTTCATGACAGGACATTGAGGCTCAGAGAGCCTAAATTATCTGTGCAGGGTCACACAGATGTTAAGCAGAGGGCTGTGACTTAAAATCAGGCCAAGTGCACCCTGGAGCCCAGGCCCAGTGTACGTGGCCTCTCCCCGGGTGTCTCTTTACCATTTTTTCATAGTGGAAAGAGGTTGGGGGACCTTTGGGGGCTGAGAGCGTCAGTTTCTGTCCTGCCCGTCTGACTCAGGACAATGGGCTAGAGCTTGGGAGCTAAAAAGGGCACCGACAGGAGAAAGCAAAGATCTTAGAGGGGATGCAAGGGCCAGGAGGGCTCAGGAACATGGAAGGACAGGGACAGGGTATCCAGATGTTGGAAGGGTCCCAGCTGTCCCGGGTGCCCTCCTCTAATGTTCCCAGAGCCCTGCAAGAGAATCCATGGTGCCCATTGACTGTGCTGTCTCTCTGTGTGTTTTTGGCTCTGCCAGCTGCTGCTCCTCTTTTGCACGTCTTCTCCTGGGCCGGGTGGGTGGTGGAGGGTCTCCAGAATTCCCCTGTGTGGAACGGGGAGGACAGGAGGCTGGGGAGGAGCAGAGTGCAGAGCAAGGGGCTGGTGCTGGCCAGCAGGGAGGCCTGCCATTGGCCCAGCTCCCAGGCCTGGGCCCGAGGAAGGAGCTGCTTGCCCCTCGCCCTTCCCTCCTCCTGCCCCCCAGGGCTCCTTGGCTGCTGATCTTGCCAGCTGGGCCCCTGCCAAGCCAAACAGCTGCCAGGGGGAGAGGAAGAAGCATTTCCGAGCAGAGAGGCCCCTGTGGGCTCCGGCTGCAGCTTAGAATCCCCCTTTCTTACCGCCAAGTGAAGAGGGAATCCATGCACACACATAGCCAGGCACGTGAGATGCCTGGGCCGGGCAGGACCGGAGGCCTGGGACCCAGCAGGAATGCAGGTAGCCTGGAGCTACCTGGACGGGGCCATCACTGTCTCTGTGCAGAGGGTTGAGGGAGTAGGTATAGCTCATTCAGAGATTGGTGGGTAGTAGATGGAAGAGTGTCCCCTCAAAACGTATATCAACCTGGAACCTAAGAATGTGACCTATTTGGAAATAGGGTCCCTGTAGTGCCTGGAAGGTAAGGATTGAGATGAGATCATACAGGATCAGAGGGTCCCAAATCCAATGGGTGCCCTTAAAAAGACACAGAATCCCCCGTGAAGACAGAGGCGGAGACGGGAGCCATCAGAAGCGTCTGGTCTCCAGAACTGTGGCTGAGTGTGTCTGAGGTCTTAAGCTACTGAGTTTGTGGTAATTTGTTTCGGTAGCTCTAGAAATGAACACATGTTGGCGCATGGCAAAAAGTAACCAGGGGGTAGGAGGAGTAGGCAGGAGGGTGGGTAAGAAAGCCTTGGACTACAGAATGCAAATATCTATCACTTATTGTGCCATGATTCTGTGCCTGGCTGTGCTGAAGATATTTAGCTCAATCTTCACAATAATCTTGCCAGTAAGAATTGTGATTCAATTTTTATGGGAAGATTCAGACCCAAGTTGACTCCATATAGCTAGGATTCTCCATATAGCTAGGTCCAGGATCCTCTGTCTCCTAAGCCTGGCCTCTGTCTGCCTCCCTTCAGGGAAGCCTTGGCAAGTCCTAGGCTGGCTAAAACTTGCTTTGTGTTGGAGGGAAGTTCTGCTGAAGTCCAGGAGGGGAAGACACTGTGCCTTGCTGGGGTACTGGACAAAGGATTGTCCACTCATTGCTGAAGGTCTGTGCCTGGTGCCCTGGATAGTCCCAACTCAGCACAATGTGTCTGTGGTCCTCAGGTCAGGGCTGATGGTCTGTTCGTGCTTACAAAGGGCAAGGAGACCCTGATCTCTTCATGTTACTGTTGCAAACACTGCTACTCCACTACCACCACGCTGTCTTTTGACACTGCCATCTCTGTCATCTCCACCACCACCACCTCCCCCATCACCACCATCACAGGAACAGTTAGAGGGACTGTCCACGTCCATGTTCACGTGAACATCTTCATCATTATGTCTCTGTCTGTCCCAGCCACTATCACATGACCACCACTGTGAAATTGTGGACAGGTTAGTAAGGGCCGGTTGCCCAGGAAGATCTGTGGTGCGACAGCTGAGCAGACTGAGTGAGGAGGAGTAGGGATGTGTGTGGCAGGATGGGACTGGTGGTCTCGGGATGCCTGCCAGGACCAGCTGACTGAGTAGACACTCAAGGGCCTGGCTGGGTGGAGACCATTCGAGCAACATCTCCTGGCCATGACTGACTGACTGACTGTGGGTCTCTTGGGGCTTTGGTGAATCCTTGGCTCCTGGTTGTCTGTTGGGCCTGGTCATGAGCAGCTGTCCTGGGAGTACCAGGAAGCAGAGGAGGCCCTGGCAGGGAAGGAGGAAAGCCTCTCACCCTGGCTGACTCTGCTCTGACGGAGCCAGCAGCTCTTTCCCTCTCCCCTCCCTTCCTGCCTGGCGCTGAGTACTGATGGCTCTTTCTGCCAAGGGCTCTGGGCTTATCTTCCCTAGGGACGAGATGCCATGTCATTGGATCAGTTATTCCAGGACGCAGGGACCCCAGACTCTGGCCAGGGCTAGGGTGGAATTGGCCATTAGAGACTAGTGTCCTTTTTTCTCCACTCTGCCAGGCAGCCCCTTCTTGTATATCAGGGTGCAGCAGAGAGCCACAGAATGTTCCAGAAGCTCAAGCTGCACAGTCGTCCCCCTGCCCCTTCCCCACAAACTAGCTGGCTCTGAGGCCTGGGGTCAGGCCAGCTCTGGGAAAAGCCTCACCCAAGGATTCTACTCCAGAGCTGCCCAAGTGTCCGGCTAATCCCACCCTCTAGGGTCATCTGAGTGTGCGGGGAAACAATACCATTGTGGCCAGGACTTATCTCTGCATCAGGCATGACAGCCTGGCAGACAGGCTGGCGACTGGAGAGCTGAGGGCCCACTGAGTCCAGAGACAGGCCACGGGAGGGTGGGTTCACTGGGATCCTGGCAGGAGGCTGGATTTCCATCCAAACTCTCGGAGCCAAGATGACTCAGTCCCCAACTTCTGCCCTACCAGTCTATTAAGGGGAGGGTCCCTGGTGGCTTTAGGATGCCCTAGGAGACCCTGGTGAGGTTCTCAGTGAGCACATGCTGCATGTCAGGCCTCCTCCAAGTGCTTTTACCCTCCCCCCGCAGAGATAGTTAATCACTATTGTCTGTGTTTCACTATTGGGGTGACCGAGACACAGCTGGGCTGGAACATTTGCTGAAGGGAACCCTGGAGATGGAGGTGGAGCGAAGACTTGTGCCCTCCCAGCTGGCTCTGGAGCCCGTGCTCTTTGCTCTGGAGTGGATGAGGCGGTGACTCTCTGTCCCAATGCTGCAGGACTTTCTCCTTCCTGGATCTCCTCGGCTGGTGCAGAGCACTGAAATGGGAGCCAGGAGCCCTGCGGGGGCTTCTCCCAGCTTGCTGTATGGTGGAGGGCAAATCGTCAGTTTCCCCATCTGGCCTCAATTTCCTTGTCTACCTGGTACAGACACTGGACTGAGCCCCAGGGCCCCTGCAGCCCCTTCTAGTTGACATTGGAGTTCACCTACCTGGCGTGGGGTTACTCCTGCATGTAGGGCTACCCTGGGGTCTGCCTTGCCCCTGAGATGCTAAAGTGGGGCAGGGTGGAAAGGGGAAGACAATGGGCCGGAAGTTCTCTGCGTGTCTGGTAGTGGAGCTCGAACCCAGGGCCTTGCATGCACTAAGCATACACTTTACCACTGAGCTGCATCCTCAGCTGGTCCCTGTGTCTGCATGTTCTTCTGGTCTGGTGGCTGTCACTCACGGTGCTCTGCTAAGAGGAGCAGCAGCAGCCAATCAGCCCTGGTCAGAGACAATAGCCAAATCTGGTCACTCACCTACAGTCCTCTTGGCTGGGTGCTGGTGGGCAGAGGATCTGCTGAACATTGTCCACCAACCTAAGCAAGTCCTTCCTCTCCAAGCCATACCTGCATGGCCTATCTTTTGACCCAGTGGCTTTTACTATCTGCCTACCATGTGCTAGACACCATGCCAGTGTAGGAAGACGGGGACAGATTAGGCTCAATCCCTGTCCTGACGTGCTTGAAGCCGGTTTGGGATGGGCTCATCCAGGCCCTCAGTCCCCAGCCCACCATGCTTTAGAGCCTTTAGAGGGTCAGCAAAGGTGAATGGTGGGGAAGGGAGGGGCTCAGAGCCTGGGGAAAAGATTGAGGTTTGTGAGGTGACAGCCGTGGGCTGCATTAGGTTCACAGCGGAGTGACTGAAAACCCTTAATAACACAGTTATTTGTCTTACAAGCCCAGGGC